TCGAGTGGTTATCAAATGTCGTGCCAGTTAAAAAGAAGAATGGGAAGATAAGAGTGTGTATAGATTTTCGTGATCTAAATGCAGCAACCCCAAAGGATGAGTATCAAATGCCAATGGCAGATATGTTAATCGACTCAGCATCCGGCAATGAAATTATGTCATTAATGGATGGTCATTCGGGTTATAATCAGATATTTATATCAGAGGAAGATGTGCATAAAACAGCATTTCGATGTCCAGGAGCTATCGGGACATTCGAATGGTTAGTGATGCCATTTGGATTAAAAAATACCGGAGCAACCTATCAGAGGGCTATGAATTTTGTCTTCCACGATATGATTGGGGATTTCATGGAAGTTTACATCGATGATATCATCATCAAATCACATCAGGTAAGACATCTAACTTATCTTGAGCGTGCTTTTATAAGGATGCAGAAATTTAAGTTGAAAATGAATCCTTTTAAATGTGCTTTCGGGATAAGAGCCGGCAACTTTTTAGGGTTTATGGTTAATCAAAGAGGAATAGAAATAGATAAGAATAAAACTAAAGCTATTCTAGAATTGCCGCCACCCGTAAGTAAGAAACAATTGCAGATGATCATAGGGAAGATAAATTTCTTGCGTCGATTTATTGCTAATTTGTCAGGTAAGATAGAAATATTTTCTCCATTGTTTAAACTTAAGAATCAAGATCAATTCGTTTGGGGAAAAGAGCATCAACATGCTTTTGAGCAGATTAAAAAATATTTGATTAGTCCACCAGTTTTGATGTCACCCAAGCCAGGTAGACCGTTAAAGCTTTACTTGTCGGCAACTAACAATACCATTGGAAGTATGTTGGCACAGGAAAATGACAATGGAAAAGAGCAAGCAATATATTATCTCAGCTGGATGTTGAATGATACAGAAAAAAGATATACTCCGGTGGAGAAATTATGCTTGTCATTATACTTTGCTTGTACAAAATTACGTCATTACATGTTGCCGACAACAGTTCAGGTAATTTGTAAGACGGATATTATCAAATATATGTTAACTCGCCCGATTATCAGAGGAAGAATTGCCAAGTGGGCCTTTGCTTTGTCTGAAATACATTTGATATACGTGCCGCTTAAAGCAGTTAAAGGGCAGGCAGTTGCTGACTTTATTACAGAATATCCATGTGTACATCTGGAAGAGGAGAATGTCGAGGGATCGATATAGGTGGTGCCATGGACATTGTATTTTGATGGATCAAGTACGACAACAACATCTGGTATTGGGGTCATGATCGTATCCCCTCAAGGACACCGAACAAAACTTATGTGTCGACTTGATTTCGATTGTTCCAATAATCAAGCAGAATATGAAGCGTTAATTGTTGGCCTTAATATATTGGCTGACATGAACGTTAAGTTTGTAAGAATAAAAGGGGATTCCCAATTAGTGATCAATCAGTTATCGGGAAATTATCAATGTTTCAACGAGAATATTGTTCGATACTTCGATATGGCGAAAGTTTTATTGAACGAGTTCTTTGATTATGAACTGGATCATATAATAAGAAATGATAATGCGGAAGCCAATGAGTTAGCTCAAATGACATCTGGGTATAAAATATCAAAAGAACTAGCAAATTTTATTGTTACACAAACAAAAACTTTGCCATCGATAGAAAATCGAATTATTATGGTACAGTCCAATAGGGAGCATATCGATGTCGATGAAGAAGATTGGAGAAAACTTATCATTTAAAATCTAGAGAACCTAGTTTCTAATGATAAGACGTTTAAAAGACAAGTGTTGAAATACTTGTTGATGGATGGAGAGCTATATCGGAAGACAATCGATGATGTTCTGCTTAGATGTTTAAGCAAAGAAGAGTCACTTATAGCAATGGCGGAGGTACATGAAGGAATATGTGGTGCGCATCAAGTAGGTATAAAAATGAAATGGTTATTAAGGCGCCATGGTTTATTTTGGCCAACAATGACTCAAGATTGTATTGATTATGCTAAAGGGTGTGAGACATGCCAAAAACATGGACCACTGCAACATGCCCCTGCAGCCATTATGCAACCCATTATTAAACCGTGGCTATTTCGAGGATGGACAATGGACATAATTGGAAAAATATATCCTTCATCATCTAAAAAACATAGTTTCATATTAGTTGCAACGGATTATTTTACCAAATGGGTCGAAGCTGCTTCGTATAAGAACATAACCCAAAAAGAAGTAAAGAAATTTATAGAGGAAAGAATTATTCATCGATATGGAATACCAGAAACTGATGGCAGCACCCAGAAGCCCTAGATTTAAATCATACGACAGCATGCTGGCTTCTAAAGCGGTATCAATACCAGCTCTTATCCAGGCAAGGCGAGTAGTTATATCTCCCTTCAGTTTTACGTACCAGCGGTGAAAACCCACCTCAGGAGAAGGAAACCCCCGAAATCGTGAGGTTTCTGGAAACCAGATGTCTGCAGCTGATGACTATTGAATAGGAAGCAGTTCTCCTGTCCTCTTTGGAAAACAGGAGCGAAGAGATGCGGGAATCTATTAATGATTATGAAAGCAAGGACCCAGAATGAGTTGGTTGGGGGATTCGTCATCGACCAAGTGTAACAGTCGAAAGTCACAGTTCGAGGATGCTTGGTCGTGACGTAGTTGATCAAATTTCTCAATATATGACTTGGGAGAGTATTTGCGGGCCGTGAGCGTACAGATTGAGTGAAAAATCTGAATGGAAAGCGAAGGAGCAAAAGATTGAGACGAAAACCTAGAATCGAAGAAGGAGATGGAAAGTCAAAAGATGCAATTTTTCGCCAAGATACGACGGTTCAAGTGATACGCTATCATGAAGATCTGCTAGGTCATAAATGATCAAGATGACGTGTCAGAAAAAGGCGCAGCGTTTCAGGAAGGATGGGCAAATACAAGTTACAAGGTATTACGGGTAAGATTATTCAGGTCAAAATTTGTTTTAAAAGAATTAATTCTTTTAAAAGGGGGCATATGTTGACACCCGAAATTAATTAGAGATTTCGTCGTGAGGATATATGAATAAAAGGACAAGAGATGACATCACCTGTACTAAAATGACAGCTGGTAGGTACGGACAGTCATAAGCGGGAAATTTGAAATTCAGATAGAGGGGGATGAAAATTGTGAAGGTATTTTCGTCGAAGATATCAACAAGGAGAAGACGGAGAGAAGCTATAAAAGATTCGATGAAAGCCTTTGTTCCAGAAAAGATAGATATCCAAGTGCTAAAAGTGCTTCTCATCGATTTAATCAATGAAAAGGGTGATGGATGTTAAGCTAGAAAGGCTCGACGAAGGTCCTCATTTCCAATGGACAGGTGTCAAACGGAGGAAAAGTTCGATGACGGTTATCATCCCAAGAGACAAGTGTCAAACGGAGAAAAAGTTCGATGAAGGATATCATCCCAGGAGACAGGTGTCAAACGGAGGAAAAGTTCGATGAAGGATATCATCCCAGGAGACAGGTGTCAAACGGAGGAAAAGTTCGATGACGGTTATCATCCCAGGAGACAGGTGTCAAACGGAGGAAAAATTCGATGACGGTTATCATCCCAGGAGACAGGTGTCAAACGAAGGAAAAGTTCGATGACGGTTATTACCCAAGAGACAGGTGTCAAACGGAGGAAAAGATCGATGACGGTTATCATCCCAAGCGACAGGTGTCAAACGGAGGAAAAGATCGATGACGGTTATCATCCCAAGCGACAGGTGTCAAACGGAGGAAAGGCTCGATGACGGTTATCATTTCGAGAGACAGGTGTCAAATGGAGAAAAGGTTCGATGACGGTTATCATCTCGAGAAACAGGTGTCGAATGGAGGAAAGGCTCGATGACGGTTATCATCCCGAGGGATAGGTGTCAGACAGAAAACCAATGGGCTCGATGACGGTTAACGTTTCAGAGACTAAATGGGCTCAAAAGCAGTTCTCACTTCGTACGAAAGATAAGATCGATAACCGCTGATAAACAGGTGTCATCACATAAACGGTAAAGATGAAATCAACGGTAGAGATTGGATACAACACCAAGAACGGTTACCAAGTCTGCGCTATAAATAGCATCTGATTACCAACAGAAAAGCCCCCCGGCACATATGAACAAAACAAATGTTGTCTTTTATCTTTACTTCCCAATTTCGCACTTTCAGTTTTCATAATTATAGTCTTTATTCTCCAGTTTCGCACTTTCAGTTTCTTTAGCTATAGTTGCTCAGCTCTTTGTAACGTTTGGACGCCACCAGCAATTGGATGGATTCATCTAGATCTTCCGTAAAACTCAAGTTCCTTATTCACGCTTGGATTGCTCCTGTCCGGAATTAGATCTAGAACTCAGTCTCCTTTCATTAGGAGCCGAAGAACGACTTTCGGTGAATTATATTTCGTCGTGAGGACATTTTTCAGACGAAACAGAGTGCTAGAAACTTTTATTTTTTTCGCTCACCTAGAAGAAACCCGACACAGGTTCTGAACAAAAAAAGCCCCCTGAAGTATGTCGGAAGCCCAATATCCATACAAGGATCGAGACTAGGGAGCACACGAGTTTGGGGTCAAAAAACCTTTTTTGTTTGTGTAAAGATGTAGATCACTGAGTAAATACATACGAATATGTATGAATTCATGTAGATGGTACACCATGCATCCATGATGACAGAATTTCCTATCCAATTCAATACGTCAAAAAGCAATAGTGTGGATTTAGAGTAGTCCACTTAAAAGCCCACCCTGTCCTATACTTGGATTTGAAATAGCTATCCTCGAATTTCACTGATGTCTTCTACACAAAGTCGTGACCATTTAAGAAAGAAAAAGAAGTGTGAAGTCTACAGATAAATAAGTCAATCCATCCCATTTCATCAAAGCCAAGCTCACAAGGAGAAGGCGATGCACTTATACCAGAAGAAACAACCTATATCATCAGTCAAATGCTAAACGAACAATAGTAACTTGGATGAAATTACTATGAACAGCACGACCTTGATATTCCCGGCTGCTTTGATAGCAGCAACAATCTTGTCTTGGTCCACTAGTTGTGCACGCCCCACAGCAGAGATTACCACATCAACCTGTGTTGGAAACAGACGCGGAAAAGCAAATACAGATCGGGTGATGAACCGGACCGATCACAAAACTCTCCGAAAATAAAATTCTCTATATACATCAATGAGAAAATCTAGCCGCGGTACAAATAGTGCTCCCCAAAAAATTTCCTCGGCCCAACTCTCCGTGTCGCGAACTAAATCTCAATTTTTTCTCCACTTTCGGATCGCACAAAAATATGTCGGATCGGGTGATGAACCGGACCGAGTACATAAAATTCAAGACATATTTAACAACCTGCTTAATCGCATTCAACAGACTCTCTCGGTCGTATATGTCTCCCTGAGAATCAAATAATAAGGAGCATGGACAAACAATCAATAAAGTCAGTCAGCAATCAAAAAAAAGAAATCCTATTTTGATCAGTTGGAAGACTAAGAAAAGGAAAAATACATAATCCGATGCAGATATAACATCAATACCTTCATCAGATGAGACGAAGTATTATGAACAAGGTATCTTACCATGACATCAGAATAACAGGTCAGCCAAATTTCAATCTATATAAAAATTCATCATCTACACAGTACGTAAGACTATGGAAGTTTTCGTAAGATTTGTCTAAAAATGTGCTCGTTCGCATCACCATGCGACGCTGAGATGAGTCGTCAGTTAGTGTGAAAATGAGAGGGAGATTGTTTCTAATTTCACCAATAATACGAGGACAAAATACCACAGAAGAGAAAGAGAAACACCAAATCGCAACGCGACTCCATCAACTCGATCTAGTGAAAGATCGAGATAGAAATCAACTCCGATTCCACCGCTAGAGACATTTCTCGGAATGACGAACAAGATCAACGGCAGGCGACGCCTCGATTACTCGAAGCAGCACCAAATGCGGGGAAACGAACACGATTGCACGGGAATAGCTACTCACATGGACTAAATTCACGCCTAAGCTCTTGAAACCTTCGACGATTTCGGCTTTGGCGGGGTTGGAGAGAGCGAACTCCCTCACGAGAGCGAAGGTAGGGTGACCGGACTTAGCGCTCGCCTCCACGATGAACTTTCCAATGTATCCAGTGCCTCCGATCACCAGGACTTTGCTCTTCTCGGCCATCGGAGAGTTTTTCCGGCGGAGGCGTTGTTTTTTCCCGGCGAACTCGATCGGGGTCGGAAGTGACCATGCTGTGAAGCGGGATTCTGGTCTTCCTGACGGAGCGTCATTTGGCTTTTGATTGCAGAAGGGCATAATTGTCTATTCAATGAAATGATTGTTCTTGTTGATATCATCCTTCACCGGAAAAAGGGTACATGGAAAGTGGGGAAATTAACAGAAGATAACGACTTTGTCTAGTTAGTAGTTTGGGAGATGATTTAAATTATTGTGAAATAAGCAAATTTTACCTTACCAAAAAATAGGTAATTTTAATTTTGATGCTGCTATAAAATTTAAGTGATCGTAAATGTGAAATCAATTTAATATTGTGATTTTATTTCTCGGTTAATATCAAACTATTACAATTCACCATGATTTTTCGTGTAATTCATGAGGAAGTAGTTGAAACCACTCTTTTAAGTTGACTTTATCATATGAAAAAAAAATAAGAAAAAATGGTTTGAAGTGGGCAATGAGCTACTCTACCTTCATATGTTAGTGTCACGGGTCGGTCGATTCACGACAATCCTACACTCGTGCGGCCTTAGGATCTCTCATAAGTTAGCCTTGCACACACATACACTCAATTCACAAGAATAGAGAGAAAGTGGCGTATTTATATTTCTTGCAAAATGAGCATGTACAAATGAAGGAGAAAGGTCTCCATATATATAAGTGCGAGTCTAATTTGATCCGTTAATCCCCTCATGATCCAACGGTGGTGTTTGAACCGATACAATCATTACATAGCTATACCAGAAGTTCCAGAGGCCTTAGAAGCGTGGGGAAGCTCAAGGGACACCTGCCAAGGGAAGCTGCAGGGTCGTGTGTCAGAAGCAACTGAAGGGTTGCAGACGGTGCTCGCGCCTAATCACGGATGGGCCAGGTCCCATGCACGAATGGGCCACGTCCCATGCACGTAAGGGTCTGCGTCTCGTTCACGGACGGGCTCGGAACCCTTCACTCCCTTGGGCCGTTTCATTCTCCCCCACCTAATCGGGCGATGCCCTCGTTGCATCTTCAGCATGAAATGGTTAATATGCTTCTGGAACTGCCAAAGAGCTTCAGAGGGTTCCCAGCTTGCCTCTCTTAGGATACTCCCGAGCCATGTGTGGCCCATCGTAAAAGAAGCACTTAAAGGTGCGTACCTTCTGCTGTCCCCACCCGCTCGACTCCGATTGGGCCCTAGGTGGTGCCGGTATTGGCTTGCCTCCATTCAGGCGTTTGTACTTATTTCGGTCTCCCCCACCATTGGCCCTATCCTTCGGACGAAAGTCGGACTTGGCTGTGAACGAAACTTTAGGTTCCTCTAGGACTCCGCCACAGAAGTGGCCATTTTGAGATCTTTCACATTGTACCATTTGAGCTCTTGTTTGGCCCACAGCTTGAGACCACTCATGAATTGGTGATATGCCTCCATGTCATTCATTGACGAGATCTGGAGTAGCAACTCCGAGAACCGCTTCACACACTCACGGACGATGCCCCTTTGTTCAAAGCGCTTGAGCTCGTCGCGAGCTTCCTCCTCCACATAGGCGGGATAATAGTTCCGCCGAAATTCCTCAACGAACTTGGCCCAGGTCGTAATAGGGTCGCTACTCCTATCCTCTGATTTGCGACGCCACCATAGCAAAGCATTATCAGCTAAATACATTACTGCCGTGTTTACCTTGGTCCTGTCGTCGTTCATTCCCGTAGCCTGGAAGTACCGCTCCATATACCATAGGAAGTTGTCCACGTCTTTGGCCACCCGCGAGCCTTTGAACTCTCTCGGCTTGGGTGCATTCATACATGGTTGCACGGTGATCACCCCATTCACGCATGCTGCTTCTACGTCTACGAGCTTCCCCTTGAGCTCGGCGATCTCCGCGCGCATGGCCGCCATCGCGGCCTCCCAGGTCTCTTCCCGCTGCAGCAGTTTGTGAGTCACGGGGCCCAATACCTTGTCGCGAAGCTCTCCCATGCCGGCTTTGAGCTCTTGCATCTCGGCCAAGAGCTCCTCCCTTCTAGCTTCCACTCCTCCCTTCTGGCTTCCACTCCTTCGACAGTCTGTTGTAAGTCATCAACCATCCCTTGGACGTCCATGACGGTTCCCTCTAATGTCGTCATTCAACGTTCCAAGTCACCCATTTGATCCCTCGAGCTGGAGGTAGCACGACTCCTCTTAGTTTGAACGCCAACTCTCTCGGTTGCCCTTCTATGATCCTCGCGATCCTCACCTTGGACATTCGTGGCGCTGGAACATGGGTCAGCCATTGCGCTAACGAAGGCTCTGATACCACTTGTCATGGGTCGGTCGATTCACGATGATCTCACTTCCGTGGCGGAGTCCCTAGAGGAACCTAAAGCTTCGTTCACAACTAAGCCTGACTTTCGTCCGAGGGATAGGGCCAATGGTGGGAGAGACCGGAACAAGTACAAACGCCCGAATGGAGGCAAGCCAACACCGGCACCACCTAGGGCCCAATCGGAGTCGAGCGAGTGGGGACAGCAGAAGGTACGCACTTTTAAGTGCTTCTTTTGCGACGAGCCACACATGGCTCGGGAGTGTCCTAAGAGAGCCAAACTGGGAACCCTCTGAAGCTTTTTGGCAGTTCCAAAAGCACATTGACGCATTTCATGCCGAAAACGCGACGAGAGCGTCACCCGATTAGGTGGGGGAGAATGACATGGCCCAAGGGAGCAAAGGGCTCCGAGCCCGTCCGTGAACGAGACGCGACCCTTTACGTGCATGGGACCTGACCCATCCGTGACTAGGCGTGAGCACCGTCCGCGATCTTTCAATTGTCTCTGACACACAACCTTACAGCTTCCCATGGCAGGCGTCCCTTGAACTTCCCCGCGCCCCTAGGGCCTCTGGAACTTCTGATGTAGCTATGTAATGATTGTATCAGTTCAAACACCTCCGTTGGATCATGAGGGGATCAACGAATCAGATTAGATCCGCACTTGTATATATAGGGGAACCCCCTTCATTTGTACATGCTCATTTTGCAAGAAATACAATTACGCCGCTTTCTCTCTATTTTTGTGAATTGAGCGTGTGTATGTGTGTGTGTGTGTGCAAGGCTGATTTGGGAGAGATCCTAAGGCCGCACGGGTGTGGAATCGTCATGAATCGACCGACCCGTGAGACTAGCATGATATCATAGAGCTTCGGAGCCGCTATACGATTGTTTCGAGGTGCAATAAATTCATTTTCAAGGAGGGTTGATTACAAAGTTACCCTTGTTTAATTTATTAGCCCACATGAGATTACTTTATATGTAATTCATGACTTATAAATAAATAAAAAAAGGAGAGCAACATTGTCATTATTGAAACATGGAGTGATTATCAAAAAGTCCTAAGCCTACGATACGAAAACCAATTCAATTCTAAACTTTTCGATTTGACCAATTTAGTTATAAAATTTTAATGATTTGTCTATGTAGTTTTTCCAATCAAATTTGACCGGAAATCGTTGATTGTATCGCTTAACGCCAGCCTTCTCACGTGGTTTGTCGATACTGTGGTAGACAATTTTTGAAATTTTAAAGAGATGGCGGGCGACGGCCGGGCAATTGCACAACGCCCTCACCAAGGGTCGACTTCACAAGCCTGGGGCGAGGCTCGAGCCTCGAACTCATCATTAGCAGCTCCAATTCATTAACCACTCCGAGGATGTACAACGTATAATATACAAAATTAGAGAACTCATGTCTTTCTTTTAGCTTGGCCCATAAACCCATATCAACTTCAAAACAGAAATAACTTCTCCAAGCACTGCATAGATGCGCACATATCGAACGTTCATATTATGTCCTTATCTAGTAAAAAAAAATTATTATGTCCTTATATTTGGACGTTGTACATGCCATGAGATGATAAGCGAGAGCGACATTTCGCGCCAGGTCCTGCAAAGCAGAATCCTAGATTATTAATGATTCAAACTGATGTGAGAAATCTACCAAGCACGTTCAATTTCGACTATCAGACGAACTGATCAAGGTACTGATCCACGGTCGTGTATTTGACGTCGGGGTAGAGCTCCGATGCTTCCACTCCGAACGATGGCTCAATCTCGAAGTTGGTGTGATCTCCTTTCACGAAAACAGAATGTGATATGGACAATATCACATTTAGTGGAACCGCCGCCTCTGCAATATGACCGGACAAGTAGACCAATCGAAGCTTTAAATCTCAGAAAAAATAGAGACGATTTCGCGTGCTTAAATCTAATAGAAATGCATTCCTAACCTTGAATGTTCTTCAGAAGCTGCTCCTCTGGAACATACACCCTCTCCAGGGTCTTGCCGATCTTTCTCTCCCACAAAGACACGAGCTCATTAAAAGAGTAGGTGTTGGCAGGAGGTCTGATGTACAGAATTTTGTTCAAGGTCCTTGGATCATCCACAGCTTTGATGGTATAGGTGCCGATGTCATCCTCCTTGTTGAACACCGCTGTGTATTGACAGGGAGAGCATTAGAATTTGGCTAATAAATAAATCACGGAGCCATTGATCTTCCTAGAGTTACTTTCGCCTCACATTGAAGAAGAAGCCTCGCGTAAACAGATTCATCAGACAACTGGCAGACAAATGCATCCACATGTTCTTTTCTCAACCAAATACATAAAGATAACCTTCATGATCTGCCAACTAAGTGGTATTGTGCCAAGTTAAACCACATCACATTCATATCATCAATTGGTCTCTGAAAGTGAAAGACTAATGGATGTAAAAGGCCCAACATCTCCGAACAGGGAAGTTGCCTGGAATTCTCAACCTTCAAGAACTGCCCCTCACTCTAATCACTACCGTAATTAAGTTGTGACAAATGTACAGAAAAATCTTAACGAATCAAAATGCGTGTTTCAAGAAATTGCTCCTTACCTTTTGCATTTCCATCCCCTAAGATAACAACTTTATCTCTAGGGGGAGCTGTAGCCCCGGGCTGTGACAACGTCGGAAGGAAGTAACCTGCAAAAAAGTTAGAAGACACATAGGTATAAGGGATCCCCTCTGCCTCAACAAGGCGGCGGATCTTGGCCTTGATAGCAAATGCAG